CTGTTTTGAGCTGCAGCATGGGTACTGGGAATTGAACCTGGGTTCCCTGCAAGAGCAGCCGGTACTGTAACTGCTGAGTCATCTCATCTCCCTTTCTTCTATTTTTGAGGCAGGTTCTTTGTATAGGTGGTCCTGGCTAGCCTAGAAAGTCTCCATGTAGATCAGGTTGGCCTCAAGCTCTTAGAGATCTGTCTGCTACCTGAGCGCTGGTTGGCATTAAAGGCATATGCCACCACCACCGGCTCTTCCACCTCTGTGGGCCAGGCATAAGATCTTGTTAGCTTGTTGCCACGCTTCCTACTATGATTGTTATTTTAACCCTCTAGAACTGTGAGCCCCCTGTAGCAGCCTTCGTTTTGCGTCACTCAAATCACGACACAGAGACTTATTATCAATTATGAATGCTCGGTCTTATGCTTGTTCCACTAGCTCGTGTAACTTACTTTATCCTGTTCCTTTCCATCTATGTTTTGCCACTGGGCTTTTTAACTTTCTTTCGTTCTGTATGTCTTACTTTTCTGACTTCTTTCATATCTCTCTGTCTGGCAGTTGCCTGACTGGCTGGCCCCTGGATTATTACTCGTTCTTTCTTTGCTCTCTCTGGAGCCTGGATTCCTCCTCTTATTCTCTCTGCTTGCCAGCCCTGCCTATGTCTCCTCTGCCTAACTATTGGCCATTCAGCTTTTTTTTTTTTAAACATATTTTATTTATTTATTTTGTATACAATGTTCTGTCTGTCTGTATGCCTGCAGGCCAGAAGAGGGCACCAGACCCCATTACAGATGGTTGTGAGCCGCCATGTGGTTGCTGGGAATTGAACTCAGGACCTTTGGAAGAGCAGAAAGTGCTCTTAACCACTGAGCCATCTCTCCAGCCCTGGCCATTCAGCTTTTTATTAGACCAATTAGGTTCCTTATACAGGCAAGATAAAACAGCAACACATCTTTACAGAATTAAACAAATGAAACAATCTTTACATAGTTAAACAAATGTAACACACCTTTATGCAGTTAAAGCAGTATTTTACAACACAATGTAACATATGTTTTACATAGTTAAATATTCCACCACAGCCCATACATTAAATGTTTTCTTTTTATAAGTTGCCTTGGTCATAGTGTTTTGTAATGGCATTAGAAAACCAACCAAAACAGCTTTCAAATGCCTAAGTCTGTCAGATACTTTCCTGGGAACTGTCCATCATAGGGTGTACTTCCTCCTAATCTAGTCAGGGCAGGTGGTGCTGATTTGACCTTCTGGCCTCAAGTGATCCTCTTGTCCATTCTCTCCTATATGGTGAAATTACAGGGATATGACTCCAGCCCCTTTCCTCTCACTTTCATCAATACTTGAGATGTTATAGAATTCTAGGCTAATAATCATTTTGTCCGGGTAAAAATATTTATTTTATGTATATGTGTGGGTATATTTGCTTCTGTGTATGTATCTGCATGTGTGTGTAGTGCCTGGAAGGCCAAAAGAGGGTGTCAGATCCTCTGGAACTGGAGTTGCAGATAGTTGTGAGGCACCATGAGGGTGTTGGGAACTAATTTGCATCCTCTGGAAGAGCAGCTCTTAGCTGTTGAGCATCTCTCCAGCCCCTGGAAGTTGCTGCTTTTAAAGGAGCCACTGCCATGGTTTCCTGTATTGGGATGCCATTTTCTTTTCTGTTCCATTTGTATTTTCCTTTTGAAAGATTTTAAGACCCTCTGTTTTCCTCCCTTGTTCTGAGATTACAGAAAGATGTGTCTTTGGTGTGATTCTTTTTCTTTCTCTGTAGTAGCTAGAAGGCACTATTTAGTCTGCAAAGGCTCATTTAATTCTGAAAGTTTTTGTTGCATTTATTTTATAATTAATTCCATATCCATTCATTTCCTTTTCTCATATATCCTGTTTTCTCCTTTTTAGATCCTTTATTACTCAGACATTGAACTGCTTGGCATGATTTTTTAATTTCCTTAATTCCTGTCTCTGCCTCTCGGATTCTTGGCATTTCTTTCCTGATTTGTTTTCAGCATCTGACCACAGTTTATTTCTCTTGGAACCGTCTCTGTGGAAATTCCCCAAGGCCTCTATTGCAAGGGAGCTCACCAGGGAGGTGTGCGTTGCTCCTGCTGGTGCTGGGTGCTTGTCCACCTGAGAGCACCTGGAAATGCCTGCCATGTTGGTTTTAGGAAGAGGAGCCACTAAAGCTTTTAAAAGGGACTAAAACAAGGATTTCAGACAAAAGTATTACAAACAGTTCGAAGTTATGAATTCAGATATTCAAAAGGACAAGAAGAGGAAGAGAGAAAGAGAGCGAGAGCGAGCGAGCGCTTCAACGGGCACCTAGTTTGCAAATAATTTCATTTGCAGAACACTTGACTGGCATCTCTTTAAAACTTCTTGACTGCCAACATAGGGGTTCCAGCCTCATGCAGGGACTTTCTATTAGATTTCTTTTTTTTAAATAAATTTATTTATTTATTATGTATACAATATTCTGTCTGTGTGTATGCCTGCAGGCCATAAGAGGGCACCAGACCTCATTACAGATGGTTGTGAGCCACCATGTGGTTGCTGGGAATTGAACTCAGGACCTTGGGAAGAGCAGGCAATGCTCTTAACCGCTGAGCCATCTCTCCAACCCCTTTCTCTTAGAATTCTAACTTTGAGAAAGACCTTCGTGTTGTTTCCTATGGTACAGAGGCACCACGAGGCCACCGTGCTCCATGTTCAGCTGCCTCTTGGAGGATCAAGGACACAAGGATCTCTCTTGTGTTGGTCTTGAGACCATGTTGACTTTTTTGTCAGCTCAAGAGCATCATTTTAAGATGCCGTTCAGTGTCACCCCAGCACTGGGAGGGCTGAAGCCGGAGCATCGCTTGATCCAGCTCAGAAAACAACCCAGTCACAGCCTGCCTGAGGCGAAAAGTTCTAAGAGCAGGCATGGTGGCGAATGCCTTTAATTCCAGCACTCTGGATGCAGAGGCATTGAATCTCTGAGCTTGAAGACAGACAGGGAATTTAAAAAAAGAAAAATAAATGCCACGCATGGCGATTATTTACATAGGTACCCTGATAACAAGATTGGCCATAGGCTTGATCATAGCCTGTCCCCTTTTTCCTCTCTCTTTCTTTTGGCATCTATTAAACTGGGGCGCTTTGCTGTAGCTCTTAGTCAGGCAGTAACCACACTGTGTTTGTCACACCTGCTCAAGAGCATTAAACCTTGGAAAATGGATGCCAGAGGCTTGAAAGAATATTCCAGAGGGAGAGGAGGGCTATCTTTAGCCTCTTGGGAAACGCTGCACCACTAAAGACTTAGCATGTGGACCCGAGGGAAAACTATGAATCTTTGGAACTGGGTTTGGGGGTGGGATTGTGGCTCAGCTGGCAGAGTGATTTGCTGGCATGTAAGAGAACCTGAGTTCTGGCAAACACTCTGGCAAGGAAGGCGGTATGGGTCCATCCGTAATCTCAGCACTCAGAAAGTGAAAGTAGGGAGGATCAGAATTTCAATGTCATTCTTGGTTACATATCATGTTCCAAGCTATCCTGGACTACCCAAGCCTCTTTAAATAAAACAAAATAAAATTAAAAAGCCTCTGAATGTGAAGTTGTAGGTGTTCCATTATTATGTTATTATTTTCTATTTTCCTTTGTATGAATGCCCAAGGGTGAGATAAAAATTTACATTGCAGACAAACCCAAGCTTCCAATAAATGTAAATTAAAAATTCTAGGGCTAAGAAAATGCATCACACTGGGCAGTGATGGTGCATGCCTTTAATCCCGTCACTCTGGAGATAGAGGCAGGTGTATCTCTGTGAGTTTGAGGTCAGCCTGGTCTACAGAGTGAGTTCCAGGACAGGCTCCAAAGCTACAAAGAAACTTTGTCTAGAAAAACCAAAAAGAAAAAAAAATTACATGTATAACTGCTTTTTAAGATGTGAGGCATAAAATAATGTTGAATTTTACAATTGATGTCTAGGAAAGGGATACTATTGGAAGAAAGAAGAAAATTCTTTAAATAGTAAGAAAAAAAATCAGCCCAGGAGGTGGACACCTTAAATTCCAGTACTTGGGAGGCAGAAACAGACAGATCTCAGTGAATTTGAGGCCAGCTTACAAAGTGAGTTCCAGGATAGCCAGGATAGAGAAACCTCCTAACAACTCCCTCCCCCAAAAGGAAAATTCTACTCCTTAATGAGTTTTTGGAGGTGGTGTAAAGAGGAAGTGGTGGAGCTGCAGAGAGATGGCTCAGTGGTTGAAAACATACTGCTTTTGCAGAGGGTTTGGATCCCAACACTTACATGCACACAAAACCATCTGTAATTCAAGTTCAAGGGGAGAAGTCCTTTTCTGGTCTCCAAGAGCACTAGGCAAGCATACATGCAGGCAAAAATTTGTACCATAAAGTAAAAATAAATGAGAAAAAAAAGTTCTTTTTAAAAAGGAAATAGAAAACAAAACAAACAAAACCAACCAAACAAACCCCAAAACTGGGAAGTCTAGTTTCTGGGCTGGGTTAACTAAGTCGCTGTGGTAATCTAGACGGAGCAGTTTAGGTACGAAGTTCATTTAGGAGAGGTTATATTGAAAAACATTTGGCTTTACGTTCTCAGGCGGGGAGGGTGGCCGGGTGGCCGGCTAGCCAATGCACCATGAATTTGCACCCCCTGCTGAACCGTCGCAGCCGTAGGATTCCTGGGCCCAGGTCACCTGGGTTTCCTTTCGCCAGGTGCTGTGGGCGGGAGTAGTAAGAGTGGCAGGAACCTCCGGTTCAGCGATTGGTTGGCAGACGCCACAAACCGCCTAACTCAAGCGCTGAGTCTGAGCTGGACGCTAAACAACCACCGCTGTATTGGCCAGTGAAGGAGGAGCAATGAATGAGAGGAGAACTGTGATTGGTGTAGTTGTTGGGGCGGGGCTGGAAGGACATTCCCCGCGTGGATTGGACCTAGAGATTTTAACGTCACCCGAGAGGCGTGGTCATCGCTAATAAAGTCGGGAGTCGGCGCCGCACCTGCAGTAAGTTCCACAGCAGTTAGAGTTCCGGGTAGCGCGTGTGAGGCGGAGCCCCGCAGTTCCGTCTGCTTCATCCGCAGCGGCTCCCTGTCTGTCTCGTTGCATTCTCCAGAGAGGGACGGACCTCCACTTCCTCTATCAGAAAAATGTGAGTTGACTCTGGTCTAGGGTCCTCGACACCTCCTTACGGACTCTCCCTCCGCAGTGTCCAACTCTGCGGGACGGAAAATGGCGCATTGCAGCAGCTGCAGCGACGCCGGGAACCACCAGCTCGCGCCGCCCCCAGACCGGGCCACTCCGGGATGCGGGCAGCGCTCCATCCCGCACCAACTGCAGTCGGCACTCCTCTGCAGGGCAGGGGCGCGGGGGTCCCACGTTCATTGCATCCTCTCCTCTCGTCTTTATATCGTGGAAGCCCAAAGGGGAAGAATTGGGGGAGGTATAGATAACGGGCAGGGAACTGGGAGACCCTTCTTGTTTGACGGAATCTGTCTCTTAAAACCTCTGGGAAGACTTTTATTGGTGCACTTGTCCATAGTAACTCGGGTTGCCAGCAGTCTCTGGGTTTCTGCATGCCCCTCACCCAAAAAAGTGTGATATGCCCGCCCCATGGCTGTGAACAAAGCTGCAGAAACTTACTTGCTAGTTCTGTGGCGCCTTGTGAGCAGCTCAGAAAGTCTCAGGGGACAGTGGCAAGAGATGCAGCCGTTTATGCTAAGGTGCTTTCCAGTGATCAAGCCCTAGTCAAATATTGGAGGAGAAATAGGGAGGCCAGTGAATTCTTCGTTTCATCCAAAACACATAGTTCGTCTCCAGCTGTGTTCAGCATCATCGTCTTCTGAAGATCTGTGTCTAGATAAATTAAGAACTCCCTTCATGATCACATACCCATAATGAAGGATTTCCTTTCTATTCATTGCCTGGATCGCTTGCCTGGTGCTAGATGTATTTGTGTGTGTGTGTGCTTACATTTTCCCTCTCCCCCTTTCCCTCTCTTTCCTTCCCTCTTTCTCCCTCTCCCTTCTCCCTTTCTCCATCCCCCCCCCCCCCTTGTTTTGCTTTTCCAGACCAGGTTTCTCAGTGTAACCCTGGCTGTCCCAGAACTCCCTCTATAGGACCAGGCTAGCCTCGAACTCAGAGATCTGCCTGCCCCTGCCTCCCAAGCACTGGGATTAAAGGTGTGCGCCACCACACTCTGTTTGTGTTGCTTCTTTTGATGATTAAAAAAAAGGGATTGACTTGTATTACATAAGGATTATAACTCCCTGGGTAGGTTAATGTGGAGTGTTTCTAGCTCCCCACAGGTAGTAAGTGAAGTGAGCCCTCTAAAAGCTCACAGTCATCCCATCCTTTCTTTTTGGGTTCTGTGATTTTAACATTTTGTGCGTTTTTGACAAGCTACTTTATTTGGGGAGGGGCCCTTCCCAGCCGACTCGCTCCAGGTGGTTTCATGTGTGAGGCTGGAGGAGGTGGGGAAAACATGATGGCTAGCCAGGAGTCACGAGGTCTCTGACCTTAGTCTTGTCATTGGTGCCACCATCCTGGACTCCTTCCAACACTAGCTGCTACAACCTCATTGGAGTCCCTGCTTTCAGTCTAGAACTAGATTGCTTAGCTAGCTCAATCACAGTGCAAGTCTTTTGGCTCCCGCGGCCCTGCATCTTCCTTTCCTTCCTCTGTGTCTAGGGAGGACATGGGAAAGTGACTCTTTAAATGGAAGAAGCCAATGTAATCTGAGTATGGCCTCTCGAGGGGCGAGAGCGTCTTATCTAGAAGAAAGTTACTTAGTTATGGAAAAGGAGATTCAAGGTATTAATTCTGCTGTGATTAATCAAGGAATTTACTTCTTTTTGGCAACTTCTTGATGGCTTAACTTCTGCCTTATTTATTGGACTTCTCTGGCAAGGATGTTTTATGGAGTTTAAGAAATTTCTATTCTCCATCAAATTTTAGATATCTCTCTTTACCTTGCTTGTGCAGCCTTCACATGGCAGGAAAAAAAATCTCATTTTTGTAGGCTTGATTTGGGAACTTGTTAGCTGGTGAATGTCAGAGACAAGTTTATCTTAAAGACCTCACATTTAATACACGTGTGGGCGCACACCTTTAACCCCAGCACTTGGGAGGCAGAGGCAGGTGGATCTCGGTTCTAGGCTAGCTTGGTCTACATAGAGAGGACAGCTAGGGAACAGGAAATACCTGCCTCTAAATAAACAAATAATAAATAAATAAGAAAAGAAAAGAAAAAATCCAACAACCCCCCAAAAACCTAACCAACCAAAAAACAAATCAAGACAAAACCAAGCCCACTCAGAATCGCTCCCTCCAAGGCCATGAGTGCTCTTGGCCATCAGTGCCGGAAGAGAGGCTAGTCCTCACATGCTGCGCAGTAGTGCAATTCACGCTTTGTCTTCGGACATGGGCCCAGGGCAGTACCCTGAGACTCTGCCGAGTCTGAAGAAGGACGGGACAGGACGACAGTGCTGCGTGCACATGGAAGATTATTTCAAGCGTTTTTACTTCTGGTCTGTGCTCTTGGAACAATTAATGTAATTGCTTTAGGCTCCAGATTCAATTTAAATGAAACCCCTATCTTCTCTCTGCCAAGAATTATGCAAATATTCCTGACTCACTTCGTCTATGCAGACTTTGCCTTTGGTGAGTCTCCAGACTGGTTTTGCAGCAGCTGTCATGTACCAGTTACAGTATAAAACTTAACTGTGACCGGACCCCCCCACAAGCTTGTCCCTGTCATACTCCAACCAGAGTACAGTTGTCCTCACCGTTTAGTCTTTTCTACAAATCTCATCTCTTCTGGCTTGGGTTTTCCTGTTTTATTTCGTGGGAAGAGCTTCTAATGGCCAGGCAAATTCCATTTAGGTCAAGGCTGGCGTATTTGTCCCTGTGGCCATTTGCCAGAGGATGTGCCTGAGTTTACATCACAGGGTAGCCCCAGTCAAGATCTCTTAATGGCACTGTGACCCTCATCCGAATGGCAGGAGATCTTCCGTCCTCCGCCCCGTGTCTCTAGGCTGTATCTCAGCTCTTGGGATTGCAGAGGAGCTAAAAAGTGCTCTGTTTGCGTTCATGCTCTGCTTGGTGGTACGTGCTGATGCCTGTGAGTCTCTCCTTGTCTCAGTCACTGTACTGTTTGCTTCTCTCCACAGGTCTGCTCCAGCTCAGCCACCCGCTGAAGGAACGGAAGGGGCTGCCCCAGGTGGAGGTCCTCCTGGTCCCCCTCCTAATATGACCAGTAATCGACGACTACAGCAAACCCAGGCACAAGTGGAGGAGGTAGGTACCTGGCCAATCCCCGAGCAGAAAGCTTCATCTCACCTGTTCTCCTCTATACAGGGCCAAACAGCCTCGGACTCACAGGCCTTGGCTGGTGAGCTCCCAGGCATTGCTCATGTCCTCTGTCTCTAGTCGGGAGCTCTCAGAAGCTCTGTTCCTGCACCCCCCTCAGGTGGTGGACATCATGCGTGTGAATGTGGACAAGGTCCTAGAGAGGGACCAGAAGCTGTCAGAGTTGGATGACCGAGCTGACGCCTTGCAGGCCGGAGCATCCCAGTTTGAGAGCAGTGCTGCCAAGCTGAAAAGGAAGTACTGGTGGAAAAACTGCAAGGTGCGCCTCCCTGCCCTCACCTGCTTTTCCCTCCCTCCGAGGTCTGGACACCTCCTTGATATGCATTACCTGTTTTGGCCACCAGGGTAGACTAGAGTATTCAGAACCACAGAGAAAGCCCTGTGTAGAGGAATTGAGAATTTAGGCTAGTGAAGTAGCTTTTTTTCCCAGAAATTCTCGCCTGGCTCTTCTTCAGACCCCCAACAGCAACACACTGGCTCAGTACATGTATTACAACGTCTGTAAATGCAGCCAACACTTCACAAAATTTGCCTTTCAATTGGAATTCCAAGAAAGAATGAACAGGCATCGGGAGCTAAGCAGAAACAAGGCTGAGTCTTTACGGTCCTGGGAGAAGCAGAAGCCTGTGGATGGCTTCTCGTCTGTAGTCCTGTTCCCTTCTTCCTTCCTGAGTCCAAGGGCTCATGCTCTGTCGTGTCTCCTCAGATGATGATCATGCTGGGAGCTATCTGTGCCATCATCGTGGTCGTTATTGTAAGTAAGTATCGCTGAGGTTGCCATGGGGTGAAGAGGTGGGAAGGTCCTGGAGTCTTCTCCCAGCCCTGCCTGCCTGCCTGCCTGCCTGCTGGGGAGTGGGGCTGCCCTGACTGAGGTATGGAGACCGCTGCTGTGGGATCATCGCCTGGTTGGTGGGGGGAGGGAGGGCAAAGACAAGGAGATTCCTTGATGGACAAGCCTCCCCCTGCAAAGAATTGTGGGAAGATGGCCCCTTCTGCTGAGAAGTGTGGCTGTGCTGTTTGTCTCTGCCTGTGTCCCAGGGAGACCTTGGGACTGGGGTGCCTGTAACTGAGAGACCTGGGTGTCTAGTAACGTGATGTAACTTGCCCTCTTGTTTTCTCCTGTCTCTTTTTCCTTCTTCGTCTGGGACTTCCTGATTCCTGTGTCCAGTCTACTTTTTTACTTGAGAATGTGCCAACCCGTCCCTGTTCTCCATTGCCATCCAAGTTCATGTCTTTTTCTCCCCGTCTGCTCTCTCAGCCAACTCCTTCATCTGCCTGTCTCCATTCTAGCCCAGGCTTCTCCATCACCCATGCCTCCTTTTCTGTTGCACTCTCTTCCTTCACACTAGAAATGCTGCGTGTGGCCGGTCTTGAAGTCACTACCCAAAGAGCAACAGCTGGCACCCCTTCCTTACCCCAGAGCTTAAAAGTGCTGTGGCCAGGGGAAGGAGGACAATGGGGATGGCAGAGGTGAAGTGTCTGAGAAGCTGGCATGGCTGAGGGAAGGAGAAGGGTGTTTGTCTCCTAGCTAGGCTGGCCTTCAGCACGAGGGGACCCAGACTACTTGGGAAGTAATGACTTGCTGCCTGTTTTATATAATAGTTGGTAACCACTACCCTGAAACTTCCCCCCATGCCAGGACTGTCTCGGGTCCCAGAGGTCTGTTTAAAGACAGAAGTCCAACTGGAATTTTGTAGTTACTGCTTGTCTGTCAGTGTAAGATGTTCTGTCTTTGGGGAACTTTACAGCCTTAGACATTGTTCTCTGTGGGCCTAGAAAACAAGTACTTACTGATTATAAAAGCAGCAGGAGACGCCATCCCACATGCTTCTGTCTAGGAGCCGCTGTCTCCTCATCTTTTCTAAAGTGTTCTATGTTGCTCATGAGGGCACCAAATAATTCTACTCAGCTTTGAACTAGCAAGCATTTGGGGACATGCTTCTTGCCATCTCATTATTGAAGTTCAGCCTCCCTTGCTGTTGATGATGGGAACTGGGTATGAAATGGTGAGACTAGACTCCCAGGCTTCCACAGAATCCCTTCCTCCACATCTTTCTCTCATTCTTGCCTGAGATAGGGATGTGGCAGGAAGGCCTTCCCAGCAAAGCCTGCAGCTCAGTCTTGGATGGGAGGGGTGCCAGCCTGTGACAGGTGTGCTGTGCACTGCTGTGCCGGCATGGGGCCTCGCATCTGGAGCTGTCTGCTTCTCCTCCTTCAGTAACTTCTCTGGAACCATCTTCCCCCATCTGAATTCTGCATTGCCTTCTCTCCTCTACTCCCTTTGCATGCCCTGTGTGAATAGAGGCTGAAACCTGAGGATGGGAGCTGCTGCTGAGCCTCACAAGAGGATGCCGCATGCCATAAACCCAGGTGCTAGGGGGAGTGCAGGAGGGGGTGCTCTCAGGCCTTTATTACTTCTGTCCTCTGGTCCACAAGCAGGAGGAGGCTGGGGCCATGCCAGCCCGTGTGCCCCCTTTCCACGCAGCAGCATTTCACTCTGCAAAACCATCCTTCTTTCCCTTTGCCCATTTGCCACATTTCCTTCGTCCTGCCTCAGGGCGGGACTGAAGAGCTGAAGAAAGCAGTCAGTGTACTCTCCCAACGTCCCCCCGAAGCTCTCCTCTATCCTCTGGGCTTCTCTTTGCCTAGTGCAGGGGGGTCACCGCTGGAGAAGAACCAACACTGTCCTTGATGTACTCCGAGCCTGGAGCAAATTTACCCTGTTGGTCCACCCAGTCCTAGCACGGGTTTCTGTCCCGCTAAGGCTTACCAGGTGTAGTTGGTTTTGTTCTTTTGGGGTGTTAGCCCTTTTATTTTCTTTCTCACCCCACCCCGAGCCCTCTTCTGTGTCTTTGCAGTCTGTTTTCCCTCCCACCACCCATGTGCATGAGCAAGTATGCCTCTAAACCCTGGGACTTTGCAGCCAGTGAAGCCAAGCTTCCCACATCCCCTTCTTTGGTTTGCCATGAGACGATGTGGGGTTTCCATTGTGTCTGTCCTTGCCTCTGTCTTTTTCCTAACCCAGTCTCATAGTTTATGTATAGAGTAGTAAGAGTTGTATTTCCACCAAAGGCATGTGACATATTTACCAATTTCATGTATTCTCAACGACGGCGGAAAATACAAATTCCTTCCACAACATCATTTTGGTTGTTGTCTGGGTTGTTGTGCTGGGGAGGGGAGAAGAGGGTGTCATCCTAGGTTGGCTGTAGGCCAGAAGGACTGCCTGGTGTGTGTTATTCGGTCTTCCTGGAAATTAAAGTCTCTGTGTGTGTTGGCAGAGGAAGTGGTCTGTGTTGTTAGCCTTCGTACGTGAAGCAGCCCAGCCCGTGCAGGTGCTGGTGAGAGGAAGCGATGACAGGAAGCTGAGTGGGCACTCACACTGGCAAACACTGCAGGCTTTCTCAGGCCTCCCCCGGCTGCCTCCACCTGCTTACCGTCTTTTACGGGTTGTGCCTAGACGAGGCTTCCAGCCTGTACCTCCTTTCTCTCGTTCTCATGTATAGTTTGCTCCTCCATTTTAATTAATTTTTATTTATTTATTTTTAGTGTTTCAGGACAGGGGTTTCCAGTGTGCACCACTGTGCTTGTCTCTTAAATGCATTCTCCAGACTCAGGTCTTCTGAAATAGCAAGTTCGCTTTAGGACCTATTCCTATTTATTTTAAGCATGTGAGTGTTTGCCTGCATGCATCTATTTACACCACGTGTGCCTGGCACCCAGAAGAGGGCATCAGATCCCATGAAACTAAATTTACAGATGGTTGTGAGCCACCATGTAGGTGCTGGGAAGCAAACCTCTTCAAGAGCAGCGAGTGCTCTGTGAAGTAGTCTCTCCAGCCTCTCCAGCACCTTAAGACATTGCTCTGTGACTCTAAGCCCAGGAATTTTTTTCTTCTCTTTTCTTTTCTTTTCTCTTCTCTTCTCTTCTCTTCTCTTCTCTTCTCTTCTCTTCTCTTTCTTTCTTTCTTTCTTCTTGAGGCGGGGTTTCTCTGTGTCACAATCCTGGCTGTTCTGGAACTCACTCTGTAGAGCAAGCTGACCTCAAACTTACAGAGATCTGCCTACCTCTGCCCCTCAAGTGCTGGGATTTAAAGACACATTGCCTGTCAGCCCAGGGAATGTTTATTGTTTTTTCAAGATAAGATTTCTCTGTGTAGCTGTGACTGTCTTGGAAATCACTCTGTAGACCAGGCCAGCTTTGAACTTAGAGATCTGCCTGATGTGCTGGGATTAAATGCATACACCACCACTCCTGTTTTGTTTTTTAAATTCTATTTAGGGATGGAGAGTTGGCTTGGGGTTAAGAGCACTTGTTCCTCTTGTAGGGGACCCATGCTTGATTCTCAGCACCCGCATGATGGTTTACAACCACCTGTAACTCCAGCCCCCCATGAGCTGATGCTCTTCTGGTACCAGGCATGCAGGTGGTGCACATACATACATGCAGACAAAATGCTTATATGCGTAAAACAATAAAGTAGTTGCATCTGAAGAGGACTTCCAGAGGACCCGGCTTCTCTATCCAGCATCCACATGGCAGCTCGCAACCGTGGATAATCCAGCTACTCTTCTGACCTCTGCAGGCTTCTTCATGCATGTGGTGCAGAGATACACAGCAGGCACACACAAACACAGATGTTTTTTAAAAGATATATTTGTTTTTATTTTGTGTGCATTCTTGCTTTTCCTGCATGTGTGTCTGTGTATCGCATGCATGCGCCTGATGCCCAAGGAGGTCAGAAGAGGGTGTTGGGATAAGCTGTAGATGGTTACGAGCTGCCCAGTGGATGCCAAGAGCCACGTCCAGGTCCTTGGGAAGAGCAGTCTTAGCTACTGAGCCAGCTCTCTAGCATCCCTGTTTTGTGTTTTTGATAGTAGACTTCATAATCCACAGTTTTTATATGCTGAATGTGTGTATCCATAACATACCTCATAGAAATGAACACAGGAAGCTTCTCCTACAGCTGAGGGAGTGTCACCTAAGAATCACAAACTCCTGCCAACTGTCTGAAGGGTCTAGACCTTAATTTCTGATTATACCACAGTGGGGTATAGCCCTGGCAGGAATCTGTTGGGACAACAGGGAGAAGGACAAGAAAGTAGAAAAACCTGGCTGTGTAGACACAAAGTGCGTTTATTTGGACAGTGTCATGAGTTTGTGAGCAGTGGCTGGCCCTGCCCTCTTCCCCTTTCCCTTCACTCCGCCTTTGACTGTGGTGTTAGCCTCCACTCAGATAAGTCTGCCCTCCTGTTGTTGCCTCCCTTTTTATCAGCCCAGGGTCTTCTCAACTGGGAAGGAAGGCAGAGACCTGTGCGGGCCAGGACCAGCACCTCACTCCCACACATGGTGCCCTCTCCAGGCCCTTTTCAGTCCCACAGCTCAGCACAGAGTTCTCAGTAGCTAGAAAACGGTTTTCAACTTAGGCTCCTGCTGCTTTTTCCCTGGAAGCAAGAGAGCAGCTACCCGGAGTACCTCATAGTCATGGCAGGCCTTGACACAGAAACAGAGAAAACAGAAGATTGGTTTCAAATGGGGCACTTCCAAAAGCAGGAATTGGGGACACAGTGGAAACACCTGGAACTCGGCACTTGGGGCTTCATCCCTGGTGTGTGTGGGGCAGGTACTTAGGAGTGGGTTCATCTACAGACTCACCTTGCTGTCTCCGGAATACCAGAAACAACAGCCCGAGAATGAAGAGACCGCTGGCAAAGAAGATTCCAAAGGCTGTTGTCTGCTCTGTGGGTGAGAAGGAACACCCTTTAGGAAGCAAGCGCTGCTGTGGGTGCTTGTGCATCTTCACTGGAGCCCTGGGCCCACGCACACCGCGGGCCTGCGCTTTTTCAAGACTCTCAGATTTGTGTTTGTTTTCTGCCTCTTTTCACATCAGGACCTTGTTCTAAGACAGCGTCTCCCTGACGTCCTAACTGGCTTTCAACTTAGGCTCCTGCTGCAGGCTTCTAGTCTGATTATGGGCACACACACCACTATCCCCCATTCCACCCCAGACAGTTGAAAGTGTTTCGCAAAAGAGATTGAGGTTATGCTAGCGACTGACAGCAAATAGCTGGGAATAATGTGAGCTAGAACAAAACTTGAGCTCTGGGGAAGTTCGTAGTCTGGTGAGCAACCGAATAATGTCTTGGGCTCTCAGATACTTTCATTTTGAGGTTCATATCCTTTTCTGCTTAAAACTGCAACATCCTCTGGCCTTTGGGATGAAGTTCTAGCATGTGGTCCATTGAGATCATAGGGCGTAAGCTTCTAGGGGCATTCGGCTTGCCTGCTGGTTACATTTTCTCTCTCACTATTTACTGGTGGAGAACCTTGGGCAAACTGCTCAGTGTTGCAAATACCAACTTATCGTCTGTAAGTGTTGGACCTGGCAATGGTATCTGTAGTCCCAGTTATTTAGGAGGCTGAATAGGAGAATTGCTTGGGCAAAGGAGTCTGAGGCCAGCCTGAACAACAGTAAGATCCATTTCCAAAAATAAATAGGTGTAACGTGTGGCATCATACTTAAAAGTTGAGAATATTGGGGGTGGAGAGTTGGCTAAGCAGTTAAGAGCACTTGTTGCTCTTGCAGAGGACCGAGGGTTCCATTCCCAGCCCCACATGGTAGCTGACAACCATCTGTAACTCCAGTCCGAGGGGATCTGATGCCCGCTTCTGGCCTCCATGAGCGTCACACGCACATGGTGCACTTCTATTCAGGAAAAACACTTAAACTCATGAAATATTAAAATCAGTCTAGAGAGTTGAGTTTCCAGCGTTTGGTCACGTAAATGTGCAGATGTAACTACCTTGAAGTATCATTGTCTCTTGCCCCTTTTCTCATATACCCTTGGCTATAGCCATGTTCCCTAAGTTCTCTGTCGGCTATTGTACAATCTGGTTTTCACATGGACTATGCTCTAGTCATAAGGGCTCCCTTCCTGCTGAACTAGCTCCTAGTGGGAAGGAGCAGCACCCGCCCCTCCAGCCCAAGCTTGTTATTTGGAGACTGGGAATTCATGGTGATAGTGGCTGCCACTCTGGGAGAGGTAAGTCAAGAGTGTGAGGGTGGAACGGAGCAAGTGGGCATCAGCACAAGGCTGAAGATGACCCGGAAGTAGGGGAGTCTCAAGTGGAGGAAGAGATAGGACACTCCCAGTACCTGTGTTAGGTAAAACCCTCATGCTGACTCTCAGCGGCTCCTCCAGGGAGATGTGGGTAACTTGGCAGATGTAAGTGGCGCCTGCCGGGCCGGGCTCAGCTGTCACGGTGGAAGAGATGCTGTAGGTTCCCATCATGCTTTGCCTGATGCTGGAGAAGGAGGCACCAGAGACTTGGGCTGGAATTCCACCCAGCTCCTCCCGAATCCATGTCACCACCACATCCAGAGGATAGTAGCCAGCCGCACTGCAGATCAGGGAGGGCGGCAGGTCCTTGTTTGCCAAGTTCAGTTGTACTTTGGGGGGGGCTGGAGAAAGATTGTAGAGGCGTCTGATCAGGGCCCACAGAGGAGCCTGAGGCCTCTGAGAGTGAAGGTAGGTTGTGGAGACAGGAACATCTCTGTTCCAGGGGCTCGGCCTGGATGCGGGTCATGAGTGGATGCATTTCTGGAACTTTAAAGTCAATGACAGGCTAGCATGCTCCCCCCGTGCCCCCCCCACGCCTCCCAGACAGGGTTTCTCTGTAGCTTTAGAGCCTGTCCTGGAACTCATTCTGTAGACCAGGCTGGCCTCGAACTCACAGAGAGATCACCTGTCTCTGCATCCCGAGCACTGGAATTAAAGGCATGCACCACCACTGCCCGGCCCTTATTTATTTATTTTTTTAATAGAGCTGGGAATTCCACCTAGGGTCTTACTTGTACAAGCAAGTGCTGTACTATTGAGCCACACCTGTGGCCCCCTTGGTTTGCTCCTTATCACCCCTGCAAGCAGTGATTGCTCATTGTGATGAGAACTGTTCCCTCTGCCTGCCCTGACTGACTACCGCCCCCTCAGGAAGTATTGGGAGCGAAGCATGGAGTTCCTTGAGCCCACAGATCTCCAGAGAAGCCAGGAGTGTTAAGCATACAGGATTGTCTTTTCAATGGGAAAGATGAAAATTCTGTTCTTCCATCCAGAAAGCTAAGAATTAGGAGTGACAAGCAGCCTGGTGATCTGTGTCAACTGTTGGCCCAGGCCACATCAAGTTCTTACATCCAAGACTAGTAGTCTAAATGATCCTTATGGCCAGAGGCTCCGCCAAGCTCCCACAACCAGCTCCAGAGATACCTAATAGTCTAAATGGCCCTTACATTCTCTGTATAGTCAGAGGCTATACAATTCCAAGCTCCCACAACCAGGTCGAGGTGCTAATAGCCCAAAAGACTTTTCCATTTCCTGTATGACAGGCCAGACCAGAGCCTTCTCTAGGCCCTTAAGCTAGTATAGGTAGCCTATCTCTAGAACCCATCTTCTTGGGAGAAATGGCAGTTCTGATGTAATTACGGGGATTGTATTACACTAGGGAACTCTTTCCAGATGACACCGTGTTTAAATTTGTTGATGTCACCCTCTGCAAGTCTGATCCAAGTTGACAAAGTCAATGTGAACCGAGTTTTCATTCTTACCTCTGCATGGTTCGCTTCCCTGCCTAGACACCCGCAGGGTCCCCTCAAGAAGTGGTCTAGGGACTGAAATTACAGATGGCCAGCCAGGGCTGCAAGATTCTGGACTGTCTATTTCTTGGGGGAATTATCTTGGTATTCAGTGGGACTCCTTATCGGATGCCATCTGTGCCTCCAGGATGAAGACTGCGTTTGAGCTGTGGGAATGGCATCCTTTTTCTCACGAGATTCCCTCTGGGTTTGGATTCTAGTCTGGGAAAGACTCCCCATAGGCACCCTCTTTTTCCCCTCTCCCCAGAATAACCCAGGCCAGCAAGCCTTACCTAGGATGTCAAGGGGGATGATTTGTTGAGCTTGGTACAGAGAGGTAGTGATCTGGCAGATGTAGGTCCCCTCATCCTTCAGAGTGAGGTTGGCTAAGGTGAGCGAGGCATCCCCAGCTGCATGCAGCTGCTCAGGCTCCAGCGTTGCGCCCTTGCGTGAAGCCTGCACCTGCCCTGCCTTCCAGCTGTACACCAGCTGCCCGCTGCCTTTGTGCTGCCGCCGCCACTCCACCGCAATGAGGTCCAGGCCGGGTGCCATGGAGAAACTGCAGTGCAGGGACACAGGGGACCCCAGCAGGCGATTCAGGGCTTGGGTCTCTGACGTCACCTGGAACTCCACTGTGGAGAGAATAAAGGGTGGCTTGTGGACTGTTTCCTCCCTGGGTCACATGGCCTCTGAGCGGTGGACAGACAGCTTCCCCAGCTCCCTGCCACGAACAGTGGCACCCCTTGAGTTCATTTCCTGTCCCTTGGAGTTGCAAATAAATGGGGGCTCTGACAGGGCAGCATGGCACATGTGGGAGCCTGAACTCATGGTCCTCCTGCTTAGGTCTCCAGTGCTAGGACTGCGGGTGTACACAACCCCACCAGCTTTACTACTTCATTCTTCTTCCACCGGATCCCTTGTTACTATGAGTAGCGCACTCCCCAGCCTTGATATGCTTCTGGGATCATTGTTTGGTGGTTATGAAGCAGAATGGCCTTGACTCTCAGCTCTAAGCTATAGCTGTACATGGGAAGGAGCATTTGGGGGTGAAGTGTTGTGGTCCCTATGGTCTAGTCAGTTCAGGGGAGAATATGTCTCTAGCAGAGGCAGAGAGGACGTAGGACAAGAGGAAGAACTGATGAGATTTGTCGAGGCCGCGTGGGACTATGTTATTTCACTTATTTGTTCTTTTGGTTTTGTTATTGTTGTTGGTTTTTTTGTTTTTGTTTTTTTGGAGACAGTTTCTCTGTGTAACTCTAGCTGTCCTGAAACTCACTCTGTAGACCAGGCTGGCCTTGAACTCTCAGAGAACTACCTGCCTCTGCCTCCTGAATGCTGGGATTAAAGTTGCACACCACCACAGTGTGGCTTTATTTTTAGGTTTAAATCATCTCAAAAAGGGAGAAGCACTGAGCCACACAAGACCTGTGGTTGATGCTGGACATCTTTTCTGATGTGTCAAGATTCATTTAGATAGGGCCGTAGAGGCAGAGGGAATGGTAGTACCTACTTGGACTGTCAGTGACCCAGGAGGCTTAACAGGATCATAAGTTCAAGGCCTGCCTGGGCGCCTTGGTGAGAGTCCCCATTTCACAATAAAACTGAAAAAGGAGTCACAGCTGTAGGCCAGCGTAGAGTAGCTGTTTAGTATGCACAAGGCTCTAGGCTCAATCTTCAGCACAGACAAAATAATTATAAAGGTTAATGTCTTATGGCTTTCCAGGGATAGGAGAGGAGCTCCCCCACATCTCCATCTTTTGTGGATTTGGGTGTCTCCTTTTAGAGGCAAAATATTGAACTGGACTCTTCAGATACCTGCCACTGTGTTCCTAATTTCTATCACCTCGTAGGTGGTGCTAAATGGGAGAGGACAAGGACTGGTTATTATTATTATCAATTAAATTTTTTCATCTATTTTACATCTCGTCCAGTTTCTCCTCCCTCCTCTCCTCCAGCTCCCTCCCCCATCCCTTTACCCGCCCCACCCACTCCCCATCTCTCTAGTCTCTGTTTAGAAAGGGGCAGGCCTCCCTTGGGTGTCAACAAAGCATGGTACAGCAAGTTGAAGCAGGACCAAGCTCCTCCCTTAGGACTGGGGTTTGTTAATAAGAGGTAGGGAACACATTCTGTCTCCCTGTGCTCTGTTGAAATTGCTGTGAGGAACCAGAGCAGTGTGGCTTTTCAGTGAGAGAAAACAGGTGTTTGGCTAAAGAAGAGAGCGGTGGCCACAGTGTAGACAGAACAACCTCATTTCCCCACGACAGCCCAGTGAGAGAAAAGTCAACTCCACTTTTGGAGAAAATACCTGATGATTTTTATATTTTGACCCTTAATCAAGTAAGAATCTCCCAGCGTCCCCTGCTCTGGGACTCAGGATATTTTAGAAGGAAAAGATGAAGGTCTATGTGAAGACCTACGTGATAGATTATAGAATTTGTTTCTTCCTTCTATCCCAGCTCTCACAACTAAAAGAAAGAAACTTGGGGCCACTGAGATGGCACAGTGGGTAAAGGGGCTTGTTGCCAAGGCTAGTGAATGGAGTTCAGTCCCTGAACCCGCACGGTGGAAGGAGAGAACCAACTCCCACAAGTTGGCCTCTGACCTCCACCAATGGACTGTGGCATGTGCGTGCACACACACACACACACACACACACACACACACACACACTAAGTGTAATAAAAACTTAAAAAGAAACCTCGTGCCGCTGCTTTTGATTTTCTCACCTGCAACCCTGACCGTACCCTGGGGACTCAGGGGTAGGTTCCGCGTAGGGTGCCAGACAGCTCCAGTTTCAGCATCTCCTAGAGTCTTCATCACCATGGAGACACTGGGTCCCCCTCTAGATACCTGCACATTGCTCATGAACCAAGCTGCTCCCTCCGAAGTGGCCTCTGGTCTAGCCTGGAGGAAGTACTGGGAGATCTCACAGGTCACCACCTTTCCGCTGCAGTCCGCGTGGAGCAAGGCCTCTGCCTGGGGGATCTGTACCAAGTCCACTGGAGAGAAGGGTGGTCACAGAAGTGATATTAGACAGACACCCCCAGGCAGGTGGGAAGCAGGGGTGGGTAGATATGGCTGGGACCTGAGCTGTCCCCACGGAGGAAGCCTAGAAGGAAGAAGGTTTTCACCTGAGGCCTCGAAGATAACAGGTGGGTCGCCTTCGGTCACTGTGCTCGCTTGGAAATCAGTGATGTCGTCTAGGGAGCCGTCGTCTGGCACTGGCACCTGCTTCAGCACAAGCAGGGCCCTCTCCCTGTCCCCCTTGCTGGCAAAAGCCCCTCGATGCCTGTCTTCTGTCACCAAGAAACAGTCCAAGACTATGTCTGTGGGCTGCCACGGTCTCTCTGCTGTGGGGGGCTCTGCAGGAACAGTGAGATGAACACCTTCTTCCTCCATATTTGCCGCCCACCCCTTTCCCAAACCACTGGCCGATCACCAGGTAAGGATGCCTCTGGGTCCTTCTGTCTTGGTGCCATATCATCCAAAATCCCAACTTCTGGGGAGGCACCTGCCACTCAGCTACTGAAGGAATTATTTAAGTTCTGGATCTGTCCTGCTCAGAGTCAGGGGGATTTATGCTTTTAAATTTTTACAGTCCAACTGTGGAATACAAGGAAAACTTTTTTGAAAGGCGCCCCCAGTAAAACAAAAACAAAACAAAAAGGAACAAATCCTGCCACGGGGGAGAGGAGCTGGGCTCTTGTTCCTAGGGACGCTGACAGCCATTTTCTCATTTCCCAACCTGCCCAGAGTCCTCAGCTTTCTGCCATTGCTGTGACCTCTAACCTCCAGCTCCAGAGTCACCTTCCCAGTGATTCCTTAGCCTGGGAAGCCCCTCCTTCTCCTAGGGTGCAGTGCCCTCTCCCATGAAATGGTGGCACCCTGCCCTTTGCACAGAGGAAGCCCCTTTACTCTTTCTGTGAGTTCTCAGCCGTACCCCTTTCCAAATTGGCTCCTCATGTCGACATGTTAAGCCACACTCATCTGCTAGGCTTAGAAGGCATTAGGAAGTTGTTGTTGTTTTGGGTAGGTGGCTTCCCGGGACTCCCTTAGCTCAAGGCTTCCTTCCCCTACCACGGAGCCAGACAGCACTCACCAGTCCCTGCTGCCCCAGAGAGAGCCAGACAGAGCAGCAGACACCAGCCGGGCTCCGAGCCCATGGAGGCTGCTCTCAGGCTCCTCCTCGCTGGCTGCCTGCTCCACGGTTCCGCTGCTACAGATCCCCCGCTGAAGAGAGGATTCTTTGGAGCGCCCCTCACTTGGCTAGCCGCTTGTGCTCTCTTCCCCTGCTATATCTCAGTCCGCTTCTCTTTCGCTTTCACTTCGACTGCCTTTGTCGCCTGAAACCATTAGCGGCAGCAGCCAGAACCCTCCTCCCCGTCCTTCTGTCCACCCTGCACCTAAGAAATCCCCAGGTGATTTCAAAACCGGTTTTGTTTCCCCATCTGCTCTATGATAAGGCAGGAAAGGGGATGGAGTAAGAAGATAGATCTGTAGGACTCTGGACCCTTCATTCTTTTAGGTCCATGTGAAATCCTGTTGGTCTGCCCAGGTGACAACTCGCTGTTCGGATCCATGACCCCACGGGTGAGATGGGGTGTGGCCTGACTGTGGGATTGCGGTCTCAGGAAGCTGGAAAGCTACAGTGTGGAGTTTCACTTTCAATTGTATTAGTGTGTGTGGTGTATTCACGCGTCGGGGTGGGTGAGCACGGCTAAGCCTGCCTGTGGAGGGTCAGTGTGGACCCTGTGCGTCTTCTCCACGACTTCTCCTTAATCTCTTGAGATAGGGTCTCTCTCTGAACCTAGAATTGTTTGGTGGCCAACAAGTGCCAATGATGTCCTGTCTCCACTCCAACCCCTGCCCTGCCCTCCTGGCACCCTTTGAATTATAAGCACGCAGGGCCACATCGAGTTTTTGTTTGTTTTCCCTTATTTTCTTGTGGAAGTGCTGGCTATTTTTTTTTTTCTGGTGAAGGGTGCTAGAACTCACCTTTCATACCTTCTTCCCAGCACCCTGTCACCCCTTCTCTTCCTCCTCTCTCTCCCCTCCCCACCTTTTTTTTTTTTTTTTTTTTTTAATTGTAGGAAGGGAAATAGCTTGTAGAACGTTCCCAGCTGTTACTGGAGCCCCTGGGCCATAAGGCCTGGCTCTGGGTTCCAATGCTTGTCTACACTGAGAGAAAAGGATGGTGGATATAGAAATAGAAAACTGAATTTATTTACAGCTTGGGCGTCAACCAAGAGAACGCCTCAGTCTCTGCTTTGCCCTAGACAGTGTCGCAACTTCCAGAGAAGATGGAACCAGAGCAGGAAGTATATGCGTCCGCAAATAGTGTCCTTCGTGGCAGGTGAGACCTTCCGGCCCCAGGACTTCTGCGGGCTTTCTGCTGGTGGCCTAGTCAAAAGTTTTTTAAATTTATTTTTAATCACGTGTCTGTGCGAGTGAATGTTCTGCGCTTGTAGGTGTCAGAGGAGGTCGAAGGTGTCGGATTCCCTGAAGCTGGAGTTACAGGTGGTGTTGAGCCACCTGCTGGTTCTGGGAATCAAGCTCTGGTCCTCTGGAAGGACAGTATGTGCTCTTCACCGCTGAGCCATCTCTCCAGTCCTTCGCGGGCCGTTTTCACCCTTAGCATGTAATTTTACCAGCCAGAGGGCTTCATTTATAATTGTGTTTTACAGCGAGAGCCTGGGCCTCCCCAAGATTGCTGACCACACACTGGGGATCCTGTTCTCGTCACTACCAGTCTCAGAAGGGCGGTGTGTCACATAGACACAGGAAAGGGTTCTGATAACGATGGTAGGTGGTAGGGGAGATCCCCCTGCATGGTGCCTCAGTGGAAAGGACCCCACCCCATGCTGGCTCAAGGGTAGGAAACAGGCTCAGGTTTCCGGTAGTCTTCTTGAATGGGGATGGCACTGCCCTCCTCCTCCCTCGGGCAGCTGTAAGGACAGGTCTCTTCAGGTTCTGCCTGGTCATCTCCATCTGTGGAAGGACAACGGGCCAAGGCATGGTCAGCAGTAGGGAGGGTAGGGAGAAAAGCGGGGTGGGGGTGGGGGCCATGAAGGTGAGAGTAGGGTGATGTCAGGATGGGGCTTCAGGAGGCTAGCAGGGCTGAGATGGTGGGCTGGGGAAGGAGGGGTGGCTGATCTCTTACTTGATCCCTGTTTCCTTCTTTGATGGAAGAACAAGATTCCTCCCAGGATGAAGACAAGAAACATGCTGGAGAAGGTCACGAAGATTCGGATACAGTCGGAACTGCACAAGGGTCTTCGGGCTGTGATAGGCAAGGGTGCCCAGAGGTTTTGCGGGAGGGTCTAACCTTGAACTCCCTCAGCCCAATCTGTTGTTCCCTCCAATCATCAGCCTTCTGCTCGACCAGTCCCCTGTCTCCTAATCCCTGGCTAGATCATGCTTTCCCCTCCTTCGCCTCCCGCTCTGTCTTTCTGTCTGTCTGCCCTCTCTCTCTTCTCCTTTGTGCGTAGTGAGTACTCGAGCATGCATTCAGAGTCCAGCGTGCTCCCTTGAGGCAGGGTTCCTCTCTGCACTGGAAACGTGGCTGTTTCAGCAAAGGTGGCTCTGTCTCTGCCTCTGAATGCTGGGCTTACACACAAATCACTCTGATCCTTAACTCATGCCCAGTAAGCCCCCGTATCCACAGAACTTTTCTGCAGCTCTGTACCCCTTCTTCACCCCATGCTTAGGGGTTTCCCTGTCGCTGCCCTCTTGGCTTCTTTTGTCTGCCCTTTCTCTGAGGAATGGGGATTAGCAGGGAGAAAACTCACATGGCCAATGGGTATAGAGAGCTGAGTCACGAGGCTGCCTGGTGTGTGCAGCAGGCCAGATCGTCCTGGCCTCTGGCATCACTGGAAGAAACAGACAGAATCTGTCACAGCAGAAAACCCGCCCTCCTTCCCCTCCACCCCCAACCCCCTCCGAGGATGCAGTGAACTGAAAGCCTGTGATTCTGCAGGAGGGAGACAAGTTGGCCCAGAACCTAGCTCGGGGTAAGTGCAGATCGGCAGTACTAGGTGGGCTGCCCCACTGCCCCCAGCGAACTGGACAATGGGCAGCCTGCTACATACCTTGGGCATGAGGTAGGTGGGTGGGTGGAGGGTGTGAGCCTGAGGCCTCCGATGGCTGTGTGGCCAGCGCAGGCTTTAGAGGAGGGTCACACTCCATACATTCCTTGTCCCTGCACTCCAGGCCCTTGGAGCAGGTGCACTTGGCGTTGGCAGTGACTGTGCAGTTGCGAATGAGAGGACCTTGGGAGAGGGGAGGGCCCGGAGAAACAGGGATATAACAGGCCTTCAGGGACCCGAACCTGTTCAAAGGACGCGAATGTTTCCCCATTTCCATCACCTCATCCTTGCCCACCCTGCCCCTCCCTCACTGCCACCTGCTACTTGCTATTGTTTTTGAAGAAGAATGGTTGACAGACAATTCATGGGCTCAGAAACAGGAACTGAAAGTCAGAGATTGTATGATTTCCTTTCCTATTCTCTGCTACTTTACAGCTTTTGATTGGCATGCCATATACTTCTGTAGAGGTATATGAAGCGTCCAAGAATAAGAATACAGAAATGGAGGTCCCAGAAATAAGAATGGAGAAATAACGAAATATAAAGTTGTAAGCTGAGGAGAATGAGAGCAGGCTGTCAGCAGCTTTCTCAGCAGCTTAAGGATCAACTATTAACAGTGGGTTACCTTACTTTGCAACTGGCAGCTCTGTCTGCAAGACTGAGGGTCAGCTTTTAGATACCCCCTCCCCTCTCCAGGGCTACTCATGACCAGCAACTGACGAGAGCTGAGTTAACTTTTAAATGACAGGATGTACGTGACTTTTTGGTCGTGCATTGTCCCGTACCCTTCCCAGCTATGTGAAACTGGCAATATCAGGGGAGTGTGGAGCTTTGGTAAACACTATCAGAAAGTGCCAGAAAGAAACAAATACAAACACTAGTTTAACTAAAAAACCCTGTTAATGGAAATTGAAAAAAAAAAAAAAGCAATTTGTATCTGAGTTTTACCTTGAGATTGTAAAGATTCTTTTGTTCATGCCTAATACTTGCTTCTTATTATAAAAAGGGGAATTTGGAAACCGCCCATGGCCACAGCAACAGAAGCCCAATCTCTGGCTGTGCTCACAGCTATAGCTGAGAAGCTTTTAGTGTCCCATGGAGATCTTTTCCCTTTTTCTAGAATAAAGTTTGCTTCTCGTTTAATAGACTTTGGTGGTCTGTCTCCCGTCTTTGTATGATGTGAGAACCCAACAGTATACACATTATAAATGCAAAGCTTAATTAAGGTTCAGGACAAGGGGCGGAGCGATGGCTCAGCAGGTCCCCAGTGCCAAGCCTGACGACCGAGGTTCAATCCTTGGGACCCATGTGTTGGAAGAAGAGCACAGACTCCTGCAGGTTGTCCTCTGACTTCCAGCAGAGAACTGTGGCTGGCATGCCCGCCGTCCACACAAGTAAACAAACAAACAAATGTAATTTAAAAGTTAAAAAACCTACCAGGTGTGGGGGTGCACACCTTTAATCCCAGCTCTCGGGAGGTGGGAGTAAGAGGATCTCTGTGAGTTCGGGGCCAGCTGGGTGTGAGGTTTAGGGCAGCCAGGGCTACATAGTGATCTCTCTCAAAAAGATAAATGAAAAGTACAAATTTGACGCACGGGTATGATCAGCAGCACGCTAAAGACAGCAGCGCAGTCCTCTGGTGTCTTCTGGTAGCTAAGCCCTCACAAAGCAGCCATTGCTATGACTTCTGCCACCACAGGCCATCTGTGCTTGCATCTGTGCTGTGGAATGGAATCAGGCCATGTGACCTCATTTCTGTCTGGCTTCTTTTACTTAACGCTTTGTGAACTTCACCTGTGCTCTTGGCTCTAACTACAGATCACTCTTTCTCGAGGCTGCGTAGTATTCCGTTGTGTGGATATACCGCCATCCATTCTGCTGCCGGTGGACATTTGAGGAGTTGCTAGTTCTTAGCCATTAGGGACAGTGTCCCTATGATTCCCAATAGTTTTTCTTTCTTTTTTTTTTTTTTACTTTATCAGAGACTAGCTTGATTGTAGGCATCAATTGCTCTTAAAATAGAAAATTAAGTCTAATGTAGGACCAGTGCCAGTTAGACTTGGGGTTGCGGGGGGAGGGGAGTGACTCCCTGGAAGGCAGCAACATCTGGATGTGGGACAGCACTCTGGGAATTCCTGCAGGTAGAAGAGGGATGTAGAAGCAGTGGATGGCAAAGGCCTACATCAACTCTGACAATTTTCTTCTGCTTATGACTTCTCAGGACAGAAAGAAGGACAATTCCTTTATGGTCCTATGTCCTTTTTTCTGAATTCTGATCAAGTTGCTGTGAAACCTTAGTTCCTCGTGGCCTGTTAGGAATTGTGAGTCAACCTGGACCAGGATCTGCTTAGGGAGAGTGGGAGAAGCCTGGGAAGTGATGGGGGACAAATGTGGAGGGGTATGGTTCTGGACACTGCAGGGCTGGGCTGCTGACTGACACTGGACGGAAGTACTCTTGTTTTCAGTTGGGAGTAGCGGGGCCCTAGGGGCCCGGACTGTACCTGAACAGACCACAGACTTCCTTCCCCATCTCAAAGACTGGGGTTTAGGGAAGGCCAGACCCAGGGGACCTGCTCTCTGTTACCTTCCCCGGCTGCCTGATCCCTTGGATTAGGTTGAGACCCGCAGACAAAGGTGATGGAGCCAACCTGGGGCACAGTGAGGGGTTCAGGGCAGACAGCAGAAGGCCTTTTGACAAGGCTACAGTGTGAGCCACGAGCTTTGTTTGATTAAGGAATTCCCAACCCTGTGGAGGCTGCTGCCAGGGAGAGAGAGAATCTTATTTCCAAGTTGCCTCAGGACTATTTCTGTTGCTTTGCTAGGCATGGTGGCACATGCCTTTAATCCCAGAATTTAGAGACAGACGGATCCTGGAAGAGGCCAGTTTGGTCTACTCCAGCCCAACCTGGGCTACGTAGAGAAATCCTGTCCCAAAAACCCTCACAAAAACCCAGTCAAACAACAAAAACAAAACCATGTTGCTTTTCTTTTGATTTTGTTCTTGTTTGTGTATAAGAATATGGAATGTTTCATGAATCTGTGGTGCACAGGGCCGTGTTAATCTTTGTATCTTTTCAGTTTTAGTGTGTGTGCTGATGAAGAAAGCCCTTGACTCTGACTAACAGCCTTGAAGGCTACGCGGGGGATCGAGCCCAGCCGCTGAGTTGTGGACGCAGGGGATCGAGCCCAGCCGCTGAGTTGTGGAAAAAAAATTTTTTTTGACAGGGTTTCTAGCTATGTAGACCAGGTTAGCCTCAATCTCACAAAGATCCACCTGCCTCTGGGTTTAAAGGCATACACTACCAAACCTGGCTCAATGTTTTGTTTTTTAAAGAGTATAATATTAAGTCGGGAGGTATTGGAACACTGTCCCAGCACTTGGAGTGCAGAGGCAGGTGGATCTTTGTGAGTTCCAGGTCAGCCTGGCCTACAGGGCAAGTTTCAGGACAGCCAGGGCTACTCAGAGACCCGTCTTGAAAAAAAAAATATTAAAGGACAATTTAGTGAAGTCACATGTTTAAGTCACAACTAAGTCTTACTGGGATATAGGAAAAACTACTTATATGAAATGTTACCACTTGGACACATAACTCTCTTTGATTTAGGCACAGTGTAATATGTCTGTAGGAATTATCTGAAATTTCCACAGACAAAGCTTTCGTTGTTATATTTGCTATAGTGTAACCGTCTGGGATAGTCCTGTTAAATTGTTGTTAGAGCCGGGCAGTGGTGGCACACACCTTTAATCCCAGCGCTTGGGAGGCAGAGGCAGGCAGATCTCTGTGAGTTCGAGGCCAGCCTGGTCTACAGAACGAGTTCCAGGACAGGCTCCAAAGCTACACAGAGAAACCCTGTCTTGAAAAACAAAAAACGAAACAAAGCAAACAAATTGCCGTTAGAATTTACTCTCCAGTTGCCTCCACTTCCAGGACACATTGTCTTCTGACGTTACTAAAATCAGTTTATACTTCCTACAGAGATTTTTTTTTCCAATGGCAATTAAATTTTTTTTTATGCATGTGAAAAAGTGTCTCGCTAGCAACTGTTACTTCAAAGGGGCCTTTTTAAAGGCGCCCGTCTAGTGTGCGCTAACACAGACTTCCTGAATCCCCAGCAGAGGTGGGGAAATGACGGCGGAGTCTGAGAAGAGAGCTACAGATACCCTACCTCTTCATTTGTAGAGAGCAGACAAACGTAAATAATTTAAATAAATTAAAAAGGACAAATCTATCTGCTTTTTCCCCAAAATGCCTTTTGTACAAAACAGCCAGGGGGAACCTGGCTTCTGATGTGATTTCCTAACTCCAAGTTCTGAACAGCTGGCCTGCAAGTGTTGTGGGAATACAGGAACACGGGCGGTTCATTGGCTGCAAGTTGCTTTTTTGAGTCCTTGATTTCTGGAACTATCCCTCCTTAAATTATATTTTTTATTTTTCTCTTCTTCTTCCTCTTCCTCCTCCTCTTCTTCTTCTTTTCAAGACAGGGCCTCTCTGTGTAACAGTCATGACTGTCCTGGAACTCACAGAGATCCTCCTGCCTCTGCCTCCCAAGTACTGGGATTAAAGGCGTGCGCCACCACACCGGGCAAATTGTACTTTATTTCTGTGTGTGCTCATGCGTACATATGAGCTCAGAGGACAGCTTACAAGTTGATTCTTTCCTTCTGCCATATGGCCCAGGGAGGGAACTCAGGTTTGGTGCCAAGTATCTTTGCCTACTAAGCTATCTCATTTGCCTTCTTGTTTGTTTGTTTGTTTTTTGAGACAGGGTCAGGCTGGCCTTGAACTCCTGTGATCAAGTGATCCTCCTGCCTCCACCAGCCTTGTGGTTGGGATGGTGGGCATGTGCCACCACACCATTTTCTTGTCTCAATCCTATCTACAGAGTCCTTCTCTCCACTCCTTTAAAACTGCTTATCTTCCATGAAACACTAGCTTTCTCCCCACATGCCCTGCCCAAGGCACACACACCATGCTTCAGCCTTGACTCCACTTCCCATGAGCCTCGAAGCAGCTGAAGCTCTCTGACTCCTGCACACCGGTTACACCAGCATCGCAGCCCCGATGTGCTCAGTGTCACCATTTGCACTCCCTGCCCCTCTTACCAGCATTACAATGTCTGCAGCTCTCACAGTGGCGCCGGGCGTGGTAGTCTGCAGAGAAGGAGATACCCGGTAGGCACGAGTCACACTGGGCAGCTGTTCTGTTCTGGCTGCAGTCTTTCACAAGGAAAGTACCTGTGAGCAGAGAGAGGGGCCAGAATCAAGGTCCAGGCAAGGTGATTCCTCGAGGCTCCGCAGGTTGCCTGACTTTGCTTGAGCTCAGTCTTACCCCATACACCCCCCTTCACCTTAAACAGCATCTCCCCAGCCCTGCTGAGGCCCCACTCTTACCGGGCTTGCACATCCGGCAGCAGAGTCCTCCCGGAGTCCGGTAATGTCTGGCTGGACAGCTCTTGGATGCTGAGGTGGCCGAGAGCCCTACCAAGGTCCCCAGCAGGCAGAGCCAGTAGGGAGGTGGCCAAGCCATGGCCACTGCCTAGAGAGACCTTTCCTGAGCCCCAGCTGCTGGTGCCTCCGGTGTGCTCTGGGCAGCAGCCACAGCACTTCCACTCGGGTGGTGAGCCAATCTCTAATGGTAGTTGTGGCTGGGTTTTGTTTTTTCTTTTTTTTTTCTTCTCTCAGCAGCCTCCACCCCCTCCTCTTTTCCGCACTCTGGAGAGACTGAAGAGGCAAACCCAACGCTGCTGTTCTTCACAGACACGTGCCCTCCTTGGCTTCCACCACCCTCTCTCAGTGGCCAACGCATCTGCATACGCTGCTTTTACAGGACTGGGTGCTGCACACACGTGCAGCCGCCTGTCCGGCACAGGGCTGGACACTAGCTGCCCTCATCCGTCCCTGGCGTGTCTCCTCACTCACACACGTCCCTTCCAGAGATGACCAGCTGAAGTAAAGCAGACTGCAGGCTATTTCTGAAGTTTAGGGGGGTCAGATCAGGTTTAGAATCATGACACTTTCGGATTCTGCATAAAACTGGTGCCACAAGACACCCCATTAGAGGTGTGGCGACACAGTGGTCTTGTATGTCTCAAGGCAGCCTCAAATTTGTGTGGTAGCTGAGGATGACTTTGAACTTCTGATCTTTCTGCCCCCATCTCCTGAGTGCTCCTGGTGTTATAGGGGTGCACCACCATGTCACTGCTCCTGGTGTTACAGGGGTGCACCACCATGTCACTGCTACTGACGTTAGAGGGGTGTACCACCATGCCATTGCTACTGGTATTACAGAGGTGCACCACCATGTCACTGCTGCTGGTGATACAGGAGTGCACCACCGTATCACTGTTGCTGATGTTACAGGGGTGCACACCATGTCACTGCTGATGTTACAGGGGTGCACACCATGTCACTGCTGCTAGTGTTAGAGGAGTGCACACCATATCACTGCTAGTGTTACAGAGGTGCACCACCATGTCACTGCTGCTGATGTTACAGGGGTGCACACCATGTCACTGCTGCTGATGTTACAGGGGTGCACCACCACACCAGGTTTATGTGGTGCTAAGGAGAGACCTGAAGACTTTTTCATTCTGGGCAAACACTACCATCTGAACTATATTCCCCGCCCTGAACACAGCACACATGCAGCAAAGCTATTGAATGTACAGAGGGGAGGAGCTGTGATGACAACCAGCCTTGCATAACTTGGATCACTGAAGTTGGGTTTTATGACCACACAAGTTCTTCCAGCATTGCTTGTAATTAAAGGTCAAGAGTTAGCCCAGTGTCTCTCGTGTCCCCTTCTGTGCTGTAAGATCACCCTGTAGTCTTTGGGTGTGTGCATGTGTGTGTACAGGTGCTTGTGTGTATGTAGATGTACATATGTGTGCATGTGTGTAGAAGTCAGGAGACAGCCTTGTTTTCATTCCGCAGGCACATCTATTATTATTATTATTATTAATAATAATAATTATTATTTGAGGTAGGATTTCTCACTGGCCAGTAGAGGAGGCTGGTTGACCAGCAAACCAGCAAAACTTGCCTCTTCCTTTTTCTACTCTATCACCAAAACAAGATGAGTACATGCCACCGTACACAGTCGTCTTTAAAAACATGGGATTTGGGATCAAACTCAGGCCCTCATGCCTTCCTGTGTTGCTCCAGCCAGATTTCCTTTCCTTTTCATGCCAGCCCCTGACCCAGATGTGACCCGCTGGCCGTGGGACCTTCGTCAACCATCCTCCTTGATCTAATCCCACTTTTATCCTTTTAGTCCGTGACATAGATACGACCTGCTGCCTGCCAAGACCCTTGCCGACTCTCCTGCTTGATTTAATCCTATTTTTATCCTTCCTTCCTGCTTCTGGCTGGCTTGGTCACTGTCCTCAGGCACCTGAACCATATCCCCGCATGGCTTAGGGCACCTGGGGTGAAGGTGGGCTCCTATGTGGGCCATCTCAAGCCTGTTGACTAGCTCCTCTGGGTAATTTGATTTGAGACTCTTGGAGTCTCTGCTCTTGAGTTGTATGAACCTTTGAACGCCCCCACTCTTTCCTCAGTGACTTATCTCAAGCACGCTTCTCATTTGGGGGCTTCGCAGTTGTTTCCAAACTGCTGGTGAAATGTCACAGTCCTGTGGTCGCACCTGGGGGACGTTAGATCCGTTCTCTCTATCTCGCGCTACAGTTTCCTGTCTCTTCATTTTTTCCACCCTCCTTCCTCCCTCTCCCCCCCCCCCCCCCGCCTAGCCCTTCAAGGGTCCACTCAAGCCAGGAGCCACAGTGTGTTATGATTTATATAGGTGCTCCAGGGAAGCTGCCTTCCACCACGTGCCCGTCATAGACCATGACAATGTTGGAACTGGAGGAATTCGGTTCCTGGTTCTCAGGCTCCAACATCATCCCATTTACATAAACCTTAAGGCAGATGTGGTGGGGGTGGGTAGCTAATAGCTGACCTGCAGGAAGAGGTGCGACCCTGGCATTGAGGAACTTCAGAGAGAACATCGCGGAAAGAGGGCATGGAGCGCATTGAGAATTTAATATCCTGACCGGACGGACCGTAAACTGCGTACTCACCTAAGACTTCCATTCCTGGAGTCAAAGGCTGCCTTCCTCTTCCATGTATTCCTTCACAAGGGTCAGGACAGGAACAGGGCCTGCCTGGTTCTCCTGGAGTATCCCTGGTGTTATGCTTTGATGTGAAATATCCCCCCCAAGGGTCATTCATTGAAGACTTTAATCCAAGCATGCTATTGGGAGTTTATCTATGGAGTCCTCCTTTGATGAGCTCATGACTAAATAGGAAGTAGAGCCAAGTCAGAGTTAATGGCTCACTGGAATCAAGTCTTTGAAGGCTGTGTCTTGTCCCCAGCTTCCTCCTCCTCCTCCTCCTCTCTCTCTCTTTCTGTCTCTCTCTCTCTCTCTCTCTCTCTCTCTGTCTGTCTCTCTCTCTCCCCTCTGTGTGTCTCTTTCTAGCTGACATGAAGTAAGTAGCTTTCATCTGCCCCACCCTTTCACCATAAAGTACTGCTTCACCACAGGTCCAGAAACAATGGCACCATCAATCATAGTTGACATCTCCGAGACTGTGAGCCCAAAACAAGTCCTTTCTCCTTTGAAGTCGTTTGCTCAAGTACTTTGCCACAACCATGAGAACCAACATACATTCATCTCCATATTCTTTTTATCATAAAATTGGAACTCTGAAACTGGACATGATCGTGCATATCCATGTAGAGCCCTAGGTCCTCAGAAGACTGAGTCGGAGGACCATTTGAGTCCGGGTGTTCTAGACCATCCTGGCCAAAATAGTAAGACCCTGTCTCTCTCTCTCTCTCTCCCATACCCATATGTAAACCAAAACTCCATACCTATTAAACGATATCGTTCTAATTTTCCCTCTCTTCATATACTTACTGATATTTGTGTTTCTTCTTTGGAGAAATGTTTATTAAGTTTCTTGTTCGTGGTTTAATAATTTTTATTTTAGTTATTATTTTAAATACCAATATTTTATTGGAAAAATGTTTTTGAAAATTTTTTAATAATTAAAAATTTTAATTAATAATTTATTTAATGTGTATGGATGCCTTTTTTCTTCCCCTGGCAGGAATAAAGATATCCTTTTTCTACACAAATAATTGCAGAACTGGTCCTCAAGAAACTGGAATTTCCCCAGGAATCTCATGCTGGAAAAATGAAAAGCCTTAAGCCTGTGTCAGCCAGAGGAGGATCTAGCCTCCCAGTGTGGCTCATATCTAGAGAACTAAATTTGTCAGATGGAAAAGGTCAGTTAAAATCACTGTGGAGTCAGAGTTGCTAATCACGTGTCCCCAAGGGGATGCTTATCTCGAATCATCAGGTGAACCCAATGTCATCTTACGGTTTTCTCTCTCCTCCCTCATTTATTTTGAGACAGAGTTTCTCTATGTAGCCCTGGTTGTCCGTGAACTTACTCTTGTCAACCAGGCTGACCTTGAATCCAGACTCCACCTGCCCTTCCTCTCCACTGCTGGGATTAGAGTCACGTTGGACATATCTCAATGCTTTCTATATGGAAATAGCAAAGGAGGTGGTCGCCTGAGGACTCAGCCCAACATTGCTGGTTTGGAAGATGAAAGATGAGATCTGTAAGCCTCAGGATGTCCAGGAAACACAAGCAGTTGCCACACAGTGACCCCGACTGGAACGAGCCAAGAGAAACCCATTTTGTCCTGTTTTGCTACACTGGGGACTGAAGTCAGGGGCTCACATACGCTAGGCAAGTATTCTACCTCTGAGCTGCATCCCTAGCCTGATGCCTAGTTTCGACTTCTGGCTTATAGCACCTGAAGGCAGGAACTGAAGCCGAGGTCATAGAGGAACACGGCTCACTGGCTTGCCCCTCATAGCTTGCTCAGCCTGCTTATTTATACAACCTAGAACTGTCTTCCTAGGGATGGCACTGCCCACAGTAGGGTGGACCCTTCTCCATCAATTAGCTATCAAGAAAATGCCCCACAGACATGTCCACAGACCAATCTAATCTGACGGAGGCTCCCTCCTCTCAGATAAGTCGAACTGAAAACCAACATTAGCCCTTACAGTGGCAGAGTTCTTATCTAACATGTTCAAAACACTGGGCTCCATTCAGTGTTCTGACCCCAGAAATTAGAAAGCAGGTAAACAGTTCGGCGAGGGTGCTTTTCTCATCTGAGTTGGTCATTCCAACCAATACTTGCACTCAGAGCCAAGTCTACTAACCACAGTATAAAAGGTATTGGGGTAAGAGTTTTAAAATATGATGGAACCCACTGAAACTCATTGTTCTTACTAAATAGATTAGTATCAATGTTTTTTCAAATTGTACAAAATGTTGCTGTATGTTAATATTTTAGTGACAACAAATAGATCTTGTATATTGCAAACAAGCAAATGTTTTATTGTTGCTGTTTTTCCCACAGTTTACCTCATCCTTATGTTTTTGAATTGTGAACATGTAATTCTGTCTCACTTTTTAAGGTCTCTATATATTTATATAGAATTTGTACTTGAATATGTAAATCTGCGAGTATAGTTTAGACAAAAATGTATAATTGGAGCTATGTAGTGAAAAGTATTTTATAAATGTTGTATAAGACCAAAAATGTTCAGAAAAATCAAGCTGGAACTAACTGAAGACTTCCCCCCACCCCCGCTGGCTGGTTCCCACAGTGTTGGAAGGTGCTGTGCAATTCTCTGAGGAGAAACACCGTCGATGGCATTGCCCAGAGATGACTCCTGAATGCCACGATACTGACCTGCCTGATAGGGTATTGTCTGCTGCTGTAATAGCGGTGTGAAGGTTACGGGGCCAACCAACCAGTTTCTGATTTGATTTGAGGCCTATTCCACAAGACGCAATTCATGCCTGGTGTGACAAACATGGCCAAGAGCCCATGGATCGGGAAGTCACAGGCCTGACGGGACAGCCTGCCACTGTTTCACTGAACTGACATGTTGTCAAGCTGCCCTCTGACCTACACATTTATACCCATTAATCTGTGCTTGCCTTAATTTGCCTTCTATTGCTGTGATGGGGCAATGACCAAAAGTGACTTGGAAATAAGCTACAAACCTTTATTCTCCATAGTGCTCGACATTTCTTTCTGATTTTAGTTGTAGTTTTTTTAGGTGAGAATGATAGGCATCTTCCCCCACGCTCAGTTGATGGAGGAGGGTCATCTGTCTATGTGTTACTTTCATTGGTTAATAAAGAAACTGCCTTGGCTCCTATTACTACACTCAGTTTATAAAGTGCTAGACATCAAACCTAGCACTGAGTGCTTTCTAGGGAGCAATCTATTGTATAGTGATATTTCATTTATATTTTAATAAATAAAGCTTGTCTGGAGATCAGAGAGTAAAACAGCCCTACTGATGAGCCTTACAGACCAGGCAGTGGTGACACACACCTTTAATCCTAGTAGCCACAATATTTTGCCACAGAAACCGGGAAGTGCAAGCCTTTAATCCCAGCACTAGAGAGGAATATAAAATGGGAGGAGACAGCTCTCAGGCTCGGGATCATTCTGAGATTCCTGGAGGCAGGATTGCCATTTCAGACTGAGGTCGAGATAAGAGTCAGTGGCTGCCTATTTTGCTTTTCTGTCCTTCAGATTGAACCCCAATTTCTCTCCCTGAGTTTTTGTTAGTCGTGCTTCACTATTAGCTGAGCTACATATGTCCCCCATGTCCCTTTCCTTTTGGAGAGCTGAACCCTGGTGGGAAAGAATGTGCTGCAGCATTTCAGGATGTTTCTTGTGGGAGTTAAAGTCACGTCTTCTGGGTGCTGTCTTTGTGGTTTTCTCTCTCGCTTTCTGTCTTAAGGCCTGTTGATACTCGGGATTGCATGCAATGCACGGTTTAGAGAGTTAATTCTGATCTGAAGTGAAGCTAATTTATGAAATCAGACATCATGAGAATTGATGTGTGTATGGCTTACATGCTGAGTAGCCAACTTTTTAGTCTGTCCAGGAAGAGTAAGAGCAGAAAAGCAAATCCTCAAAGATGCCAGGCAAGGGATGAGAGAAAATTGTGGCTGTCAAGGGAGCAGTCTTGAGCTGGATCTGAGGAGTGGTCCTGGAGCCCTGAAGCCTTTGTCTTGGGAGATCCTGGGGTTGGCAGTGAGGTTGATTTTCAGAACCGGATAGGTGAGTGTTGCAAATGCTTCTATACCTTCCATAACCTGAATCATCTTTGCCATGTCCAAGAGCCTCTGAATTGAGTCTTTATCTGCCTGGGAATATCTGCACCATGTGGATTATTAGACCAACCGAGGGTAACAGCATAAGTGAACTACCTTCCCTTGTTTGGGTACTCAATAGATACTTCTGCCTTCTTCCCCTTCATTGGTGCTTGAGATTGCAAGTCCCAAGCATGGGGTTGAAGGAACAGCAATTAGCCTGGAAACTGACCAATGGCATATGATGAGACAGAGGTGGCTCACCGAGTTGAACACACTTCAGTATGCAGCACTGTTGTGGAATATTACTTTAACTATGTGGAGCTGTGTTACATCTGTTTATGCTACATTTGTTTGATTATGTAGAGATGTGTTGCTGCTTCACCTTGCCTGCCTAAGGCACCTGATTGGTCTAATAAAGAGCAGGATGACCAACAGCTAGGTTAGAGAAAGGACAGGCAGGGCTGGCAGGCAGAGATAATAAGTAGGAGGAGAATTCAAGGCCCAAGAGGAAAACAGGAAAGAAGAAGGAGGAGAGAATGAGGGAAAAAGAGAGGAACATGACAGGGGCCAGAAGCCAGGCAGCCAGACATGGAAGCAGCAGGAAAGCAAGATAGAAAGAAAGGACGGGAGGGAGGAAGGGAGAGAATGAGGGAGGAAGGAAGGAAGGAAGGAAGGAAGGAAGGAAGGAAGGAAGGAAGGAAGAAAGGTGGTACGGGAGAATTGTCTGTAATCTGTTAATCAGAATGGCGTCAATTAATAGAGATCTTTGTGTGGTTTTCTTTGGGCTTGACGGCTGTGGGGTACTGGGCGGGACAGAAACCCCCAAACAAACAGGCCCCACTCATGCCTCATGTTACAGAATGGCGCCCACGTGGATAACTGAATACACAGAAAGCCTGGGAACGCTTGGGAAAGATTAGGGTAAAGCATTTCAGTTTTCAGCCACAGCAGGAAGAAAGCTGCGCTGGCTTTCTGGGAAGTCCTGCCAGGGAAAATTCTGACTATTTCAAGCAGGCGTCCTGATGGATACAATGTTGCAGCTTGCTTCCTGGCAAGGACCTTGAAACGCCACAGGAGCTTTTGAGTGTTGTGTTCTCCATTTTCCTTAGCAAATTAAAGACCCACATGGTCAGAAAGAGAGAGAGAGAGATACAGTAAAGAGAGATTCAAAGAAAAAAATAAACCTCTAAATGGTTTAAAATCCTTAAAAAAAAGAAAGAAAGAAAGAGAGTAGTTGGGTGTGGTGGTACACACCTTTAGTCCCAAGGCTAGGGAGGCAGAGACAGACGGATCTCTGGGAGTTCAAGGATAGCCTGGTCTACAGAGGGAGTTCCAGGACAAAGATATGCAGAGAACCTGTCTCAAAAAGCTAAAAGTTAAAAGTAAAAATAAAAGAAATAGAGGTTAAAATAAAGATGGAAAATATACAGAGAATCTTGATACTGTTTGCTATTATGCTCTCTTTAAATTGTTTGAATGCTGAGGAAGGAGCAACAGCTGCTAAAAGATATTTGCTTATAAATGCTGCAGAATCAATCCAAGATAGGTATTTTGAAAATACCTTGGCTTCAAAATTGAAGTCAAAAGTTAAATTACTTTGGAGAAGAGATTTTTCTTTTGTTTCCACAGAAAATGAGAGGCTGTGGATTTATTCAGAGTTAAGAAAAATCATCTTTGACCAAGGGAGACCACCTGAGAAATCTCCGGTAGGAACAAATGGCCCAGATGTCTGAGTTCTTCATCCAGAACAGATTCAAGACTGCTGCCTGAGATGATCAAGACTCACAGGACACTTCAGTCAGGACTTGATCATAACTCTAAATTTTCTTTAGGTCCCCATAAGATTATCAGCGCCCCCAACCAGCAGGAAGTAGTCTGGAATACTACACCCACATTCCCAAAAATGGACTATGGATATTTTCCTTTTTAAAAAAAAAAAAAAAAAAAAAGAGGGGGAAGTGGTGCGGGAGAATTGTCTGTAATCTGTTAATCATATTTTAAATAAACGCTGATTGGCCAGGCAGGAGATGTAGGCAGGAAAACCAGACAGGAAGTGGAAATGATGCAAGGAGAGCAGGAGGAATTCTAAGGAGGAGGAAGCTGATTCCCCCACTCCTTCCCAGATCACCGAAGCAGCAGGATGTGATCTGCCAGCTGAAGAAGGTACTGAGCCACATGGCTAAAATAGATCAGAAAAATGGGTTATTCAAGATGTGAGAGTTAGCTAGTAAGAAGCCTGACCTAATGGGCCAATCAGCTTTATAACTTTCGGAGTCCTCTGTTTGATTTTTCTCTGGGACTAAACAGCTGGGGGACGGGCAGGACAGAAAAACCCCAACAAGCAGGCCCAGCCTTTTCATGCTACAGGAAGGAAGGAAGGAACAATGCCCCTAGGCAATATATATAAGAAGAGAAACAGTTAATTGGAGTTATACGAGCTATTGGGACAAGCATAAGATTAGGCCAAGTTTTCATAACTAAGCCTCTGGGTCATGATTTGGGAGCTGGTTGTTGGCCCCACCCCGAGAAGAAGCCTGGCTCACAGCACTCAGGCCCCATGTGATGCTGTCTTGATTCCTCACAATGCAGAACGAGGTTTGAAGGAGGGGTACTGCTCCCCTTTACAGGGCTTCAGGGGCTCCCGACTTGCTCCTGTGTCTGAGGGACTCCTCTTGCTGACAGATGACTGTAGGCAACACATGGCAGGTCTAGCCTGCCTCCACATGCACAACCGACGCTTTCTGAGAGTGAAGTGCTGGGAGTCCTACCACAGGCCTCCATTCCCACTCTGGCCTCTGAGTGTCCCCTGAATGAGTTCACTTCTTAGGGTTGAACTGCAAAGAGCTGGGCTGTGCAGTCAAAACCAGGTGGGTAGGTTTTCAGGAATGTTATAAACGAGAGGCTGTGCTGCTGTTTCAAACTGGTGAACTGGCAGTGGCAAGATGCTTATGACCAACAGTGTAAGCCAGCAAATGTGATGCATGAGATGCTACCCACAGCAGGAGCCAGCTGTAAAACACTGACCCTTCTGCTCCAGCTCCTGGCTGGCAAGGGTGAGAACTGATGGCTGCTCTTCTTCAATGTTTGGATCCTAGAGAGACAGGATTCCTTCCTGTCTGGACAGCAGGCTTCCCCTGGATCATATACCCATGTGAAACTCTCGTCTTCCAGGGCTGAGCAACCGAGGATCCTTGATTGGCAGAACTGGACAAGATAAGGCCAAACATTCATAACTAATAAGAAATCTCTGTGTCATGATTTGGGAGCTGGTTGGTAGCCCAAAAGGTGGTTCACCCTCTTATTTACGGGATCTGAACCACTGACTATTGATGTGGGAGAATTGTCTGTATTCTGTCAATCATATTTTAATAAAACGCTGATTGGCCAGGCAGGCAGTATAGGCGGGAAAACCAGACAGGAAGTAGAAGTGATGCAATGAGAACAGGAGAATTCTGGGAAGCAGAGAAGTTCCTCAGTAGCACTCCTGCGCAAACCTCCGAAGAGGCAGCATGTAACATGTCCAGCTGAGAAAGGTACGGAGCCATTATGGCTAATATAGATGAGAATAATGGGTTAATATAAGTTATAAGAGTTAACAAGAAGCCTGACCTAATGGGCCAATCAGTTTATAACCTTATGGAGTCCTGTGTGTAATTTCTCTTTGGGATTTGCCAGCTGTTGGGGTACCGGGCGGGACAGAAGCCCCAACAAGCCGGCCCCTGTCATGTTACAGACTATGTTTAAAATATGCATAATGGTCATCATTTTAACTATTTCTAAATGTATATTTACTATAGTCACTTTTTTGCTTATTTATTTACTTTTATTTAGACAGGGTCTCACTGTGTAGCCCTGGATGGCTTGGAACTCACCGTG